AGATCGTGCCGCTCCTTCCCTGCCGCACAGCCACCCGCAGCATGTACGGAGAGGATGGAGAGGCTGTCATTGGTCCCACAGAATGTGCTGCAGGCACCGCCAGGCAGCACATTCTGCTGTGTGAGGACCCTCCTCTTAGCTCCACCACCTGACCGCAGAGACGAGGAAAAGGGCCCTGCAGGAGAGCTAAGGTAAGTCTGGAGGGGGAAGGTGGGGCGCGGGGGGAAGTGTATGTGTGTGGGGGGGAGGAGCATATGTGTGTGTGCTGGTGGTAGTCTGCATTGCTGTATGATGATTATACAGCAATGCAGAATAGCACCAACTATGCAGGACTACAAGTCCCAGCAATACATTATATTATTAAGTAGGGATACACCACTGCCAATACAGGGCATTTTCTCCAGTACTCATACTCGTGAAAATGCCCCGATACTAAGCGCAGATACCGGTGTTCTGCCGAGAACGCTGACGTATTTGCCGACCTCAGCATCTGCGCTTGCGCACAGACCAGTATTATCGAAAATACCGGCATTTATTCACAAAGTATTTAGTTTAAATCGTTAATTGTGATTGTTAATAATATTCCATCTGTCATTTACTGCCATGGATGGTAGATTATTAACAGTCACAATTAACCATTACAAACGAATACTTTGTAAATAAATGCTGGTTTCCTTGTTAATCCCGTCTGTACGCAGATACTGGGTCGGTGTTCTCGACAGAACACTGGCACTACAATTTTAAACAAGCGCCTGCCTGAGGTCCAGCGCTTGCTGGGGACCTCCGCAGCCTTCCTGTTAACCATGCGGTGCCATGGATGGGGGGGGGGGGTGGCTTCACGGTTTCTTGCACCGGGCTCTGAAGGTTCTAGTTACGCCTCTGATAGTATGTAAACATTTTTCTCTTTGTTCATGATTACCAGCACTGACTTTAGGACAGTTCAAAGGGAGGCATTTCCTGGATGGAATCCTGCTCTGCATCCTAGACCTGAGCCAGCTCAACTGAAAGAGGAATTGACGTCCATGGATAAGGAGAGAGGAGGACAAGTGGAGGGAAATACAGTAACAAAGGTGAACAATATCACTCAGACATTATCTTAAGCAAGCCAAACACCTATAGATTTTTTGCAGATTTTCTATGGTAGATAGAAAAAGTGCAACAGATTCCTCCATCTACGCTAAACTGTGTGGATGGAGGAATCTCCCACTGGGCCAAGCTTCAGCATCTTGCTAGTTGGCCCCGCTGGCTCTCAAAACACCTAAACAATGCCTGCATCCAATCAGATTGTTCATGTATTTTGAGAGCCAGCGGGGACGAATAGCAAGATACTGAAGCTTGGCCCAGTGGGAGATTCCTCCATCCACACAGTTTAGCGTAGATAGGGGAATCTGTTGCACTTTATCCATCTGACCACAGAAAATCTATAGGTGTATGGCAAGCTTTAGTTTGACTTTCTATTCCACACCAATCCATAGACATTCATCTGAATGCACAATATACAGGTGTGGCTTTTATTTCAGCCTTAGCCAATTAATGTTCAATTTCTCTTGTGAAAATTCATGCCATGCTAGTCTTGTAATGGACTAAACACCAGCCTAAAGAAGGCTTCAGTTCTTACCAATCTCTTGTGAGTATAACGAAACAGCATTTGGAAGATATTTCTTGATAACCACCACAATTCTGGTGGTCAGGAAAAATGCAATGCATACTAAATGCTGTTACTTTACACATGCATATTCTCTCAAACAGCATGGAGTTTGTTTCCCAGCCAATCATGAAGCCTAGCGGCTGGTAATGACCGGCCTCCCGGATTTTCTGATTGGCCGGAAACCTGGCTCTATGCTGACTGGCTGGGATGCCAGCATCCTGGCTAATCAGAATCGATCAGGCCAAACAGCATGGAGGCGGCTTCCAGCCAATCAAGAAGACAGGCGGTTGGTAATGACACGCCACCCGGCTTCCTGATTGCCCAGGAACCCGGCTCCATGCTAAAGCAAGTATCATTATCGTCACTTGGTATCAGTATCGGTGAGTTACCGAAATATAAATATCGGTACTCGTACTCGATACTGAAAAAACGGTATCGGTGCATCGCTACATATCAGTCATTTCCTTCCCAGATTGTTCCATGTTGCAGAAGATCTATTTGAAAATATTGTTCTCACAGCAAGGGGCATATTTCATTGGAACTTTTAAAGTTGTATTGCAATCACAAAGGGGTTAAGAAAAAAGTTTCTACATAACTAACTTAGTAGAGTACCTCTGGCTTTGCCTGCATCTATCCCCCTTAGATTTTGTAATCATATATTTTCATCAAATTTTAATTATATTTAAAGCTTGCTTTCCTGCCTCCTGAGCCGCAACCCAGGGAGCCAGCGAGACGTCCACGTTCAGTTCTGCGACCTCTTAATGGAAAATTTGACAGCACTACTCACAACCGAAGTGTGTTCAAAGATTGGGGTGTTCAACCACGACAGCGATATGGAGATTCCATGGATGGTGTTTTTCTAAGACCTCTGGTACAGTTCAAACTGTTGCATATAAAAATATAACACAACCAATCAGATTTAGATTTAATAATTTGTAAATCTTAGATCTCCTGATTTAGACTATATCATTGTCCGTGGTTTTATTTTTTTAATAGAGTAGTAAAGGGTTGGAAGGATTAATTTACTCTCTCTATCTGTACTTGTGACCATAAAAGTGAGAGAAAATCCAAAATTTCCATCTGTCGACAAAATTGAAATAGAGGGGAAATCTTCCAATGGGGGCACTTGGTGCAGGGACAACTGTTTAAAAGGGGATTTCCCTAAGTTTGGAGATATTTTCTCTCACTTCCTGCTTCGTGTTATGGGGCAAAGGTTGAGGGGGTATCTCTATAATAGGACACATACATAAAACCCTTTCTTATTCTTACCAAAGCTAGCTTTTGGCTAGATGTACTTTAAAGGAAACTTATTATAAGAGACCATGAGAGCGGTCATTTCTCACCTCCCATTCCAAAAATGCTAGTTACCTGAGAAATGCTTTAGCTACTTTCTGAGTCAGTGACCTGAAATACGGTAAGTTTTGCAAGAAGGAAGTCTGACTTTTCTTTGACTCTGGTTTGCTGCCTACTTGCTCTGGTTATGATGCAGAACACAGTAAGGCAACTGATTTTCAAAAGGAGGACAGTAGAAGCAGCTTACACATATCATGACAGCTGTACTTTAAAAATAATATGCCAGTGTTAAACAATATACTAATCTGCTAAAATTCATAGGTGAAGCTTGACAGTGAAACTACAACTGGTACAACATTCATCCCTAAAAAGGGTGAGCTGGTGAAGAACTGCAAGCCTGCAAAGGATAACCTGGAGCTGGCAGGAGACTGGGACTTCTCAACTGTGCACAAGGATACCTACAGGTATTATAAAATACTTCATTAGTTTCATAGGTATGATGGCATTCCCAAGCCTAAAAACCTCTGCCTAAAAATGCCCTATTTCAGCTATGCTAGTGACTAGTGATACTATGTGCTGCACCATGGTACATGCTGGTATTCCAAAAAACACTATTTGCAGATATGTTGAAAATGGTATTATATTCTATATTGCATTTTGGCATAGTTTTATTTTCTGTGACTGCTTTGCCTTAGCTTTGTTTTAACAGAATACATTTTAAGGCCTATTGAGCTCATTGAGTTTAAATCAGCTACATTCCAGGTGCATTAAAGCAAAAGGGTGTTTAATGTCTTATAATTCTTTTAATGCAGTTACAGTCTAAGTAGAAAAGCCTTTCCCCTGCTAGCATGTTACATAGTTACATAGTTACATAGTATTTGAGGTTGAATAAAGACACAGGTCCATCATGTCCAACCTATTGTGTTCATGTATATGGTTCTACAGATGTGTGCGTATGTATAGGTCCCTGTATGATCTCATTCTTAAGAGTACTTGTACCCCTGTATATTACGGTCCCTGAGGAAATCGTTCAAAAGTTTCTTGAATGATTCCACACTCTTAGCTGAAATCACTTCATGTGGCAGCGAGTTCCAGACCCTAACCGCTCTAATTGAAAAGAACCCCCTTCGCCCCTTGTGCTGAAATTGTTTCTCCACCAATTTTAGGTGGTGGCCTCTCGTCTTTGACATGGAGTTAATCGTGAAAAGATTGTTGCTAATGTTGCTATCTCCATTGAACATCTTGTACATGAAAATCATGTCCCCCCTTAATCTCCTCACTTCCAGCGTGAACATGTTTAGACGCCTTGTCTCATAGCTCTGGTCCTCCATCCCCTTAATGAGTTTGGTTGCCCTCCTCTGGACTCTTTCCAGCTCCAGGATATCCTTTCTGTGGACTGGTGCCCAAAACTTGACCGCATACTCCAGATGAGGCCGAACCAGTGATCTATAAAGTGACACAATTATAGACTTGTCCCTGCATTACATTTCCTACTTAATACAGGACACAACTCTACTTGCTTTGTTTACAGCAGCCTGGCACTGCAAGCTATTATTCAATCTGTGCTCTAGAATGACCCCCAAATGTTTTTCCCTTTCTGACTTCCCTAGTGGAGATCCAATTAATGTGTAATCCGCTTGCTTATTTTTAACCCCAAAGTGCATTACTTTACATTTATCGACATTAAACCTCATCTGCCATATAGTTGGCCACTCCCCTATTTTATCCAGGTCCTCCTGTAATGGTATAATGTAGGGCTGGTAATGATTAAAATTTTCGTGTTTCGATTAATTATAATGCACATACAGATTCAATTACATTGGCCTATACACATACAGCACAGCAATGAAGTAATAAAATGAACTAGGATCACACTAATCCAGCACGTTATTAATCTCACGTGCCCCACTCAATATGGCCGCCGCTTGAGTGGGTCAACTCAGAATAATAACGTGCTGGATTAGTGTGATCCTAGTTCATTTTATTACTTCATTGCTGTGCTGTATGTGTATAGGCCAATGCCTTTGCTTGCGCTCGTGCAGAAAGTTTCTTGGGCAAACACCGGCCCAAGTGGCTCAGTCGGCTAACGAAGGGGGGAGGAGTCCGGTGACATCACAGACATCGACGTCCCCGGACTCCTCCCCCCCTTCCCTTCGTTAGCCTTCACGTACATCGACGTCACTGGACTCCTCCCCCCCTTCCTTTGTTAGCCGACGGGGGCCACTTGGGGAAGGGGGAGGAGTCTGGTGACGTCGATGTCCGTGATGTCACCGGATCGCCGACGGTACTCCCGGAAGCCAGCGGAGAGGTGAGTGTTTTCATTAGCGATCAAAATAATTTTAATCGATCAAAAAGTTTAACGATTAATCGAGAAATTAATCTTTCATTTCCACAGCCCTAGTATAATGTTTAAGTCCGTGTCTATTACCCTCCCGATTTTGGTATCATCAGCAAACACTGGAAAATAGCTATTCACACCCTCCCCAATGTCGTTAATAAACAGGTTGACTAGCATGGGGCCCAGCGCAGAACCCGGGGGCACACGGCTTATGACCCTAGCCCAGTATGAAAAGGTGCCATTTATCGATACTCTCTGTACACATTCCTGTAGCAAGTTTGCTATCCACATACACAATATTTCATCTATGCCCATAGACCTCAGCTTGTGTAGTAAGAGTTCATGTGGTACCGTGTCAAAAGCTTTTGCAAAATCCAGATATATCACATCCACCGGCCTTCCTCCATCCAGGGGCGTATCTGCTGCGAAGCAACTTGTTGGCAGGTTAGTCTGACAGGAACAGTCTATCCTAAATCCATGCTGGTTGTCATTTACTATACCATTATCCTGAACAAACTCTACTAAGTAGTCTTTATTCATTCCCTCTAACATTTTGCAAACTACCGACGTAAGACTAACTGGTCTGTAGTTCCCAGGATGGTATCTGGACCCCTTTTTGAATATCGGTACTACCGACAGTCTCATTGTCACAGGTCGGCTTAGAACTATGACGTGAGTGGAAATCACTCATGTCATAGTTCTCCTTTAAGTACTTGGGGTGCAGGTTATCTGGTCCTAATGCTTTATTTGCATTAAGTAGTTTAAGTCTGTGTTGTATCCTGGTTTCCGTCAACCACTGTGGAATATTTTGTGATGAATTATGTGTATTCTTATCCACATTAAACCCGTCTTTCTCCTGAGTGTATACTGAGGAGAAAAAAGTATTCAACGCATCGGCCCTCTCCCTGTCGTTGGTGACTAACTTCCCGTTTTCGTCCTTTATTGGGCCAATCTGCTCCTTTCTTACCCTTTTACTATTTATGTATTGCTAGAATTTTTTGGGATTCTTTTTACTAACTGTATAGGCGATATGCTGTTCGCACTCTATTTTAGCTGCCTGGATTACTTTTTTACATCTTTTATTACACTCTTTGTAGTTATGGAACGCCAAACCCGTCCCCTCCATCTTATATTTTCTAAATGCCAATCTCTTGTCCTTGATGTGTTGCTTCACTGTTCTATTTATCCATACAGGCTTAGTTTTTGATCTTTTACTTTTGTTACCCAATGGTATACACTTGGTAATAGTCTTTTGTAATGTGTTCTTAAAACATTCCCACTTCAGGTCAGAGTTCAGGTTGTGAAATAAGTTTTCCCATTCGGTGTCCCCCACTAGCTGGCGCAGCTTATCAAAGTTAGCCTCTCTGAAGTTAAGGGTTCCTGTCCAACCAGCCCACTTCCCTTTCCTGTTCCCAATATTGAACGTAATCACATAGTGATCGCTGTTACCCTGTGTCTCCCCAATTGCAATATCCTCAATCAACTCTGCATTATTAGAAAGGATTAAATCTAGGATGGTATTTTTCCTAGTTGGAACCTCAACCATCTGATCCATTAAATCGTCTCGCAATATGTTCAGAAAACGGGCCGCCTTTGTCGAAGGGGAGGTTTCATTAGCCCAATTGATGTCTGGATAATTGAAGTCGCCCATCACGACGACATTACCCTGCTTCCACCTCTGTTTCTATTTGGAGATGAGCTCCCTCCTCCTCCCCTATATTTTGAGGTTTATAACAAACACCCACAATGAGTTTACGGCTAGCCTTCATCCTATCTAGTTCTAGCCACAAAGATTCCACATCCTCCCCACTATTTGACGTGATATCGTCCTGTATGTGCATATTTAGATTATTATGTTGTAGAGTGGGACCCTTGCTCTCTGTGTGGAAGCAGTGATATCTCTGCAGAGGTCTGACACACCACCTGCTGAGTCACAGCCAGAGCTCTTCAATCAGCAGGCAGCATGAGCTTTGCTGATTGCAGGGTTATAGTATAGTTGTAGTAGTAGTTCTAGTATAACTATGTCAATTGACACTTTTTTGTGCTCTAAAAAAATCACAGCAAGTTGCAAAGTGTGAGAATGCATTTTATTTCCTTTCCTCTCTTCTCTTTCAGGTCTCCAGCTCTGCCTCAGTGCCGCATGCAGATTTACCTGGAGCAACAGATGAGACAGAAATCTTCTCAGCAAAAGGAAAATCAATAATGAAAGAAGTGGTTAACTCAGATCATTAGCTTATGGCTTAGTGTTTATCTGCACTGCTACACTTTCTCTTTCTTGTTTTGCCTTTGCCATGGTTAACTGCACATGATATATAAATACGTTTAGTCTATAGAAATAGTATCTGAAAGCCATTAGCCTGTCTTTTAAAAGTCCAAATTTAATGAAAGTAGGGTTATGGACCATGAAGACATAAGTTTGGACCAATTTAATTTTTGAGATCCATTACCAGGATTATTAATATACAATGTATAACAATATTATTTCTTATAAATAATCATTTATTTTCAAGCGTGGTACCGTGATAGGTTGCCACCTGTGCAATAAGTCCATCCATGAAATTTCCTTGCTACTGAATATTCCACAGTCAACTGCTAGTGGTAGCACACCGCCAGTGGACTCTAGAGAAGTGGAGAATCACGCTTCTTTGTCTGGCAATCTGATGGACGTGTCTGGGTTTGGCGGTTGCCAGGAGAACGGTACTTGCCTGACTGCATTGTGCCAAGTGTAAAGTTTGGTGGAGGGGGGATTATGGTGTGTGGGTTGTTTTTTAGGGGTTGGGCTTGGCCCGTTAGTTCCAGTGAAGAAAACTCTTAAGGCATCAGCATATCAAGACATGTTGGGCAATTTCATGCTCCCAACAGTTTGGGGATGGCGTTGATCCTGTCACGGCTCTCTGCCGTGACAGGGGAGGGGCTGAAATCCCCCCTCCCTGCTCCGATCCGCCAGTGCTTGCGATGACCTCAATGCTGAACGGGCGCACACCGAGGCGCACATAGAGAAATGGTGTTGTAGGAAAAGTTGGAAAGGAGAGACATCACATTAATGATTGCAAATATTGTAACAATTGTTCTTTAATAAGGCTAAGAAAATAACCAAATAAAAACATTGGACATTTGCGGGGGAGAGCGGGTGTGAACTTCCTGATGGGGACTGGGGACGGGAACTTACCTGCCGCTCCTCTTCTCCCTGGCAAATTCGGCTCTGCATGCACGTATACCCCCACACGCTTACACTGCTCAGAGAGGCGGCTCTGATCACACCTGACAGCGCTCCCTCTCTCTCCTCCTGGCTGCAGCGGCCGGGAGGATAGAGAGGGAGCGCTGACAGGTGTGATCGGCACCGCGGCCATCGTAAAGGAGCCCCCTCCCAGTTGCATTTTGCCGCGCCCAATATTCATAATCAATATTTTTAAATCTGCAGCATTTAATATATTATTACATGGTGAATTTGCCACAAAGGTCCCTGTTCAGGCACGTATTGTTATAGAGTAACAACACTCTGTCCTTGTCCACCATTTCTACTCCCTGCTGTCCCCTTATCACATGGGCTTCCAACTGAAATAAAAAAGTTTCCATTACTACCCACATTTCAAGCATTTGCTGTTGTCATAATTGGGAAAACCCAACCTGAGAAATGTCATGCAGCCATCACTGAAATGCATGTATGTCGGCAGGACGTAGCCACAAAGAGGCTGAAGAAGATCAGCAACACTAAGATGCAACAACCCATTTCACTTAAAACAAAAGGGGAATCAAGTACAGTGGTACCTCGGTTAACGAACTTAATTCGTTCAGCGATTCTGGTCGCGAACTGATTTGGCTGTGAACCGAATCAAACTGTGATCACACCGCGATCTCGACTAGAGGAAGCCACGACCATGTGTCAGAGCAGGGAAAATGGCTGCGATTGTGTTCGTCACCCGAAGCGGAGTTCGCGAACGTGGCAAAATTTTGCTGAACTTCCTGTTCGCGAACAGAAGCGATCGTGAGCCGAGGTACCACTGTAGTTTAGTTTTAAAAAAGGAGTTATTTATTCATCTACAGAGCTTTAGCAAGCTACGAGTCATTCAGAAAGGGTTTACATCTACTTTACGTCCACACATTGCTGGGAAAGCATTGGAATTGAGGATGTTGAAATATAAAATACTGCAATTTTGTCAGTAAATGATAAAAATTACACATATTTCATACAGAACAGTAGACATTTGGATTCGTATCCAAATTCCGAATTACAGATATAACGAATGCAAACGAATCCTAATTTCCGTTTCCGAAATTCGTTAACGGTAGTTCGTTCCGTTTTCGTTTCTTATTCTTTTCTAAAGTGCCTTTAGAGAAGGAGAAAAAAAAAATTTCCCCTCAAATCTCACTTTGTTGCAAACGAACGAACGAATAAGAAACGAAAACTAAACGAACTACCACTAACGAATTTCGTCCGAATCCGAATTGACTTTCACACCCAGAAACACGAACCCAGAAAAACAAAATAACACAAAATCCGAATCAAAACGAAACGAAACAATTTTTTTGCCAGTGCACGTGTCTACAGAACAGTATTGATGCTGCACCAGACAAGAATACAATGAAGTGTTGTGGTATGTCTATTTTTTAATGAATTACTTCCCATTTAAGATAATTAGTTGGGTTGCTTATCAGTTGCTGAATTTTGTGTCTCAGTGTAAAATAACTGTGCTGACTGCAATGCAGCCCCCCACATTCAGCTACCTTGAGTCAGTGCTGTCCTTGGTAAACTCATGGTAGCAATGATACATACCAAGGCTGCAGCCCCAGCATGTCTGCCAGTAATTACCCTTACTGGAGGTTTGTCTCTTCCTACCTTTTTGGATTACATGAATTCCGAAGTCAGGACACAGGCCTTCAAGGACTACAAAGCTGCTGGTAGACGCTGTACAGGTCTAACCCTATATTCCACTTGTGCCAGTGGCCCATTGCCTGCTAGTACCAACCTCACCTTCAGAGTTTGCGCATAAAACTCACTTTAAACCAATGTTATGTTACTGAAGAGTGCAGACAGATTACAGAATGCTGCACATTACAATAGACTTAGTTACAGGGAGAAACTACTAAGTGACTGCCCATTTAAGAGAAAGAGACTGCTAAGTTACACAAAGGACTCCCTGAAGCCTGTCCCATTGCAGAGAGGAGCTGCCAAGAGACTTCAAGATCTGAATACACTGACACTTGCCTATGTTTGTCTCATGATTGTCCATATTACATCATGGATTACATGGCCAAAGAGGACGGATTAAAAAGCTTCTGCAGATAAAGTGACAAGTAATAGGCCAAGGTAACTTTGCCGTGTTTGTGGGAGGAGTTGCGGCAGCTCTCCTCCCCTTAAGAAGGGGGACAGGGAGCTCCTAGAGACGTCACGGCGAGGTCGTGCTTGACCCACCCGCCCTTCCCCAGGTTCTATCATTTCACTAGAGCGTGCCCCCTTATTTGGCACGCTGACCATAAAATCATGGCACACATCAGGTTGGTATCATTAGGGGTCATGAAGACTTCGGAAGCCTAAGTAACTCTGACCACAATTCATAGCTGTCTCTCCCTAACTTGAGTAATATTTTCAGACCGATTCATTTCTTGCTAATAAGCCCAAGTGTTCCTCAGGTAACTGACCTGGTGGCAGGATATAAACTATAGGTATCATTGTGAATGGCATTGTGCAGTCTGGACATATTAGATCAACCAGGTCCCAAGCATCCAGGTCCCCACCTTTGGGGTCTGAAAGAAACCTGATGTCTCCATAAAGAGGGCCTGTCACACCCTATCTGCTATTACATTGGGTGCTCGTTAGCCCCCTATGTAATAGCAATAGGGTTAGTGTAAAGATAAAGTGTTTAAAAGTTATACAAATTAAAGTTTTTTTCTGCTCCGTACACTGGGTGTAATTTGCAGTATCTGGTCTTATCCTGTACATGTGGGTGCTGCACTGTATAATTTTTCATGTGTTGTATGTTGCGTGTATTTTGCAGTATCTGGTCTTTTTCTGTATGTATTAACACATTTCTTTTATTATGTACACTGGGTGTAATTTTCAATATCTGTTCTTATTTTGTAGCATGTTCTTATCATGTAGCCGGTCAGCATATAACCAGTTAGATTAGCAGTAATTATGTTCTGTTACAAGGGAAAGATGCATCAGTACAAGTAGGGATGCACCGATATAGATACTAGTATCGGTGCCGAGTATTTGGGCGAGTACTCGCCCAAATGCTCCGATACCTAGCCCGATACTTCCGGTATTAGGAAGCCTGGCAGCGTGTATTGACTTGCTGCCCGGCTTCCTGATTGGTCAGGAAGCTGGCAAATCAGGAAGCCGGGGGCGCCATATAATGACACAGCGCCCGACGCTCCGATTGGCCAAGAAGCCGGCTTTATGCTTCCTCGTCACCTTATGACGAGGCAGCATGAAGCCGGCTTCCCGGCCAATCAGGAAGCTGGGGCGCCGTGTCCTGATTGGCCAGAAAGCCGGCTCCATGCTTTCTCATCATTTAGTGACGAGAAGCATGGGGATGGTTTCCCTGCTAATCAGGAAGCCGGGTGGAGAGTCCTTACACACCGCCTGGCTTCCTGAACGGGACTTTCGGTATAGGCGAGTACCGGGGAAAAAAATATCGGTACTCGTACTAGATACTGAAATACCTGTATCGGTGCATCTCTAATTACAAGTAATGCCTCTGGATGCCTTGCCCACACTGCAGTCATATCCAGAACATGCAGTAGAACACAGAGCGCTAAGCATGCTACATTCTGACCCTGCTTCACAAGTGTCCTTCCAAATTTTCTCTCAGGATTCTTGGCACTATGCCCATTATAATTTACAAACTGTCCCAAACAAAATCAGTTTGTCCAGGCACTGGAGTGACTTATCCATACATGTTACATTGTAAAAGGTGTGGAGCAAAAATGGGCAGAGACTGCAGCATCTGAAGTTTCTCCTGTGGAAATGATACTCTTCCAGGACTAGACCCAGATACTCAAAACGATGCCAGCAATGACTGCTGACGTTTCGGGATCCATCCAAGATACTGTCCACATACAGCTCTTACTTCCCAGGTCATCCGCTTCGTGCTAAGACCAGCGCTGTCTCCAAATTACAAAAAAACAAAACACTTCTATATTCTAAATAGTAACAATTTATAATAAACAGTCTTGACAACATTTCCAAGCATACTGCTTCTTTTCTAAGCTTATCCATGTGTTAAAAAAAAAAAGAAGCTAAAAATACAAATATTTAGAAAAAAAATTATATATATATATATAAAAAAAATAAAATGCACTCAACCACGAAAAGCATTTATTGCTGGCTCTGTCCTGTTGGAGAGATTTCCCATCACTTCCTGTTGCTGTGATAACATGTCCTTCATTCTCTCCAGGACTAAAAAGTGTTTTGGCGGAGTTGGGCTTCAAGGAATGTGATGTCACTTTTGTTGCAGCATTCTAGCTATTCAAATCGTTGAAGCATCAATATAAACACATAACACAAAATGTTCTAAATACAAATGAAACATTTAATATATTACAAACCTGAATCCAGTAAAATAGAACATATGTCATTTTTTTTCAGGGTCCTGAAATATGTTTATAAAACGTTTTTTCTTTACCTTTAAACAATAAACCGCTTGAAATCCTCCTGGAATACAGAGGCACCCATGTAGCAAGATGTACCCATGGGGTATATAGATTAAACTATATTCCTGAATTAGTCAATGAGTGAGAAAACGATGGCCCATCATGATATCTCTGGCTTTTTAAGGAATACTGTTTATTCTAAAGTATATCGGTTATGATATTAATACAGGGCTGCTATTGCCAATCTCCTTCTGAAAATACTTGTTGCCTGTCTACAATACTTCTAAGTCACCGACCCGGAACACTCATGTGCAAACACGAGTCAGAATTCCCTACCTCTATGCTTGTTTTGTGTCAGAGGCTCAAAGTATTGAAACCAAAGCCTCAGTGTGACAGGCATGCACATAGCATGGTAACCTACATAATATCTCCTGATGGGTTTCCTTTAACTACTAGGAGACTGTTTACAATACATTCAAGTATATTCTGTGACATTTAAGACAGCCTAGTGTTGGGAATACAGTTAATATACAAAGGCAAACTGCACTAATGGATTCATTAGACAGAAAACAAAACAGAAATTATATATATATATATATATATAAACAGTCTGCTTGCAGCAC